TCTTTTGTCCTTTTGTTATTTCTCACAGATTTATGGATTGTTATAACCGCTGTGTTGTCTATACACAAATCTTTAAAAAACAACTCTAACTCTGAACATCGTTGTCATGTAAACGTATCCCAAAACTCCAGGCAGGTCTTTGTCTTCGTTAGCAAGCAGCCAGAAAAGCCAGAAGTGCTGGCATATTTCATCACTATCCTCAGTGCAGCAATTTACAGGTTTTATTTAATAGAGAGTTTTGCCATTTCAGCCGTCTAATATGCTGTTAGTCATAAAATATTCAAGAATCCAAATTTATGGTTCAAGAATGACCACTTCTGTGCTCTGATAATGCACTGAAAGGTGAAAAGGCAACAACAGCCCTGGTTGTTTTACCAGTTTTAATTTTTTCTTTTGCCTTGACAGACAATAACCTTTAAAATGGTTTTCATGGATGTAGATCTCATTATTAAAGTCAGTAATGGCTGTTTTCCTGCTGTTTTCCAGGTGGCATTGGAGTGTGAGTGCGGAGAGGAAGACGGCTGAGGGCAGTGTTCATCAGTCAGGGCTGGACGCTTCTCGCTTTCACTGGAATTCAGCACAGACACACACCGGGACCCCGGGCCACTGCTAAAGCCTCATCTATCACTCGCAAGTGGCCCGGTGATGCTCGGCAAGCAAATTCCACCACACATTAATTTTCATAGACTCTGAGGACTACTGTATGGGTACTGTATAAGAGCATTCATGCTTTAAAGGCTTCAGCTGAATTTAAGCAATGCTGATATTTTGCACACAATCCTATTCAGGTCAATGACATTAATTATTTAAAGTTTGTGGTCAGTACACTATATATTTTATGTTTTTTAAAAAAAAGTATCTTACATTCATTTGGATTGCATTTATTTAATCTAAAATAATTTTTTAAACAATTTTTACAACATACTGTATTTAATTACAGCTTTAAAATAAGTAGATTTTTTTTTAGCAGTCATCTATTTTTGGGAAACTGTGAAGCATTCTTTTATAAATGTTTCACAATATGGGTCTTGAAAATGCCATTAAATGTTTAAATATGTCCCTTCTATAAATGCTTCTTTCTCCTTACCTAACGAGACTCGCAGGTTATATATTGCAATTAAAATCACTATGAAACAAAACATTTATTTGAAGTCAAAATCATTTATATAAATTGTACAGTATTAAAAATACTAGGGAATTGGGATACATTATTTTATGAAAGTTCCACAATATTGATTTAAAATATAATTTATTTGATAAAAAAAGTAATTTCTATCAATTCTCCAACTTTTTCCCCTCTCCTTAAAGAGATTGGTTGGTTTATGATAAACAAAAGTCCACTATTTGTAGTAAATATAAATAGTTATGACTGATAGTTTATAGTTAACTAATTTTAAGTTTAAAAGGAATGCAATCAGTCATCATCAACTACCGGTAATATTTCTTCCTTAACCCTCAAACACATTTGCGTGTAAACGCTGTACAGTCAACTTACCTATTAATCATCTTAACCTAAATCATTAATCTTAATCACCAAATTTATTCAACAAGCTTGAAATAATGACCTTTTCAATGCTATTAAATGTACCATATTAATTATAATAAGGAAGGAATTCATCATCTGATATTTTTGATACATACTGACCTAGGACCCTATCATACACCTGGCGTAATAAGGTGCAAGATGTGTTTGGCACGATTTGTTGCTATTTTCAGACCAGCGCATCAGTAATTTTCACGTTTTGCACCACGTTGTTTAAATAGCAAATCCACTTGCACTGTTTTTGGACTCATGGGTGTTCTGGTCATATAAAGGAAGTGTGTTAAGAAGCATTGCTGCCATGTTGCTATTTTAAGGAACTAAAATAGACTGCGCCATTGACCACTGCCTCCGTGCCTTTTTTCAGTTTATTCAGTTTATGACACTTTGCATTTGTGTAATGTTATGATTATTACCAGTTGTTTATTACATTTATATTTACTTTGATAAAAACAAGCTTAGATTTGTCCACCAGTAATGTTTTGGAGACGTCTGCATCACCATATGGGGCATAAGAATAAGATGTGTGTTTTTTGACCACACTTTGTTATTATTGTTCATTTATTTCTTTACTGGTATTTAGAACTGACTTTAGAAATTGTTTTGAAACAAATCTTTACGCTTAACAAACAAAATTAAATATGTAGGCTAGTGGATGTCTTCAGTGGAGTGCGTACAACACTGTTTATTATCCACGAAATTAAAGAAATAAAGAGTAAAATTAAAATAAAGAGAAAGAAAAGAGGCCGAAGGAGGTGCGTAGTGACGGGTCCAGTTTTTCCACTTACAAAGATGTCATGTAAATACCAAATGCACCATGACATGTTGCGACTCTTAAAGGGGATAAGAGATGACACTCTGATTAGTTTAATGCAAGCTATGGCTCAAAACACCCATAATTCATTAAGAGAATAAGCACAACCTTGTTAGACCATGCACCAGGGTATTTTTCCATCCTTAAAATAGCAAAAGTGGATTCAGACATGCCCTTAATGCCCTTTTGCATCATGCCCTTTAGACTTTTTGCCTAGGTCGTTAAAATAGAGCCCCTAGACACAATCATGATTTGCAGGAATAATATAATTTGCCTTATAATATCATTAATATTAATACCATTAATATTTTATTTTAATAAGACAAAAGAGACTCATCACAGAAGAGGTAATACAGTATAACAGAACAAAACAATAGACGTAGACAATGATGTCATTGACTCACCGCGATGAGAGAGGTTGGCATTGGCTCCTTGTATGCTGTTGACATGTGTAATGGTTGTAGATGTGTGCCTGTGATCTGTGGTCGTCTCGGTGGAGGTGGGCTGTTTCCAGTGTGCAGTGGTGCTGGGCTGAGAGCTCGCTGTGCTTGAAGTGGATGTGGAGTGTGTGCTGGTGGAGCGATGCGTGCTGGAGTGGGTGGATGTGCTGAAGCTGCTGCTGCTGGTTGTAATTGGTGCTGTAGTTGTAAAGAGTCTACTGGTGGTTGTAGGTGTATTGGCTGATGTAACTGGGGTGGAGGTTGTAGGAGTCGCAGTAGTGGAGGGTTCTGCTGCTGAAGCTGTGGATGCAGCTGGATCTGGAGCAGCTGTTGTTTTGGGTTTCACTACAAACATAAGAAACAGAAGTCATTTATATTGCTAACTAGAAACAACTGAAGTTTAAACTTTCTATAAATGCTTTAGTCTGTCAAAATAGAATATGCCAAACATGTCCTGAAAAATAAATCCTTAATATTTTCGCCCCTGTATGGGCCATAATCCCTCCCCTCTTCTTGTAAATAAAACAAAACAATTAATTGCAGTTGCAGATGATGATAAATTGTAATTATTTTTCATGTGTTTTCCAAGTGCTGTTTAATGGAGATATTTTTTTCCCCAACACATTGTTAACATAATTGTTTTAATAACTAATTTCTTATAACTATTTCCTTTTGTCTTTGGCTTAATGGCTTAACTAGGTTTATTAGGTCAACTGAACAAGGTAGGTTAATTAGTCAAGATGTTTGCTCTAGGGGCTAATAATATTGACCTAAGCAGTTAAAAAAAGAAAGTAAATAAGTTTTTTTCCCTATCATACTAAATGATTATAATAGGGCTCTCTAAAAAAATATTGTTCTGTTAAACATGACTTGGAAAATATTTAAAAAGTATAAAAAACTTAAAAGGAAAAGCTAATTATGTGTATTTAAATGCATATTTTAAATAAAGTTTCTCCAATAAATTTTTAGATACTTGATTCTGATTGGTAAGCAGCATCATTTAGTGGTTTGTTACAGTGTTGTATAACTCAAGACTTTTTCCCAAGTTTCAGCTTGGAGCAAGAGTCAATTTGACGTTTTGCACCACACTGTTTAAATAGCAAATGCATTTGCATTCATATATGCACCCATTGGTGTTCTGATCTAAAAAAAGGAGGTGTGTTAAGGCTGATTGGTTTATTCTCAAAACACACCTATATCTCATTAAGAGAATAAGCTCAACGCTGTAAGACCATTGACCAAGCAGATTTTTTCAGTCATTAAAATAGTAAAAGTAGTTACGAACACGCCCTTAATGCTTTTAAGGACAAAATAGAGCACAGACTCCTGAAACCATGTTTTAATGATCTTGGTCTTGTCATAGATTTTATTTTACTTTTGATGTTGTGTCTTGACTTATACTCAAACATATTAGGGATCTGACTTATTTAAGAGTCCCATTTTCATGTCATGATTATTACAGTATGTTAATATTTCATTAAATTCACGTTTGATCTAATGACTGGTGATTTTATTGTGTACAACCTTGCATGACTTCAGACTATCACAGGACTGTAATGGGGAGTCTCTTATCTACATGATGAGCATGTCTTTTCCAACTTGTAACAGTTGAACATAAACGGGTGTAGTTTTACATTAAAATTCCTTGTATAAGAAATACAACTGTGAACTTACAGTACAATGTAATGTGGATAAGTAAAACACTGAAAAGTACTCGTAATTTACACCACCTATATGACTTTTCCCCCCCCCTTAAAAACCTTTTTTTAACCATTAACACAGCATTTTAAAGAGCTACAAGACACAATAAGGGCTTTCACACAGCATAGTTAATTACAGGAACTTAGCCAAGTCAACTAAAATCATTACCATTTCCAGTGGTGTGAATATGTCAGAAAAGTGGGTACAACTGCCTCTAAATCTAGGAACTAGTTCCTCTAGTCCAAAAGCCCTTATATAGTAAGGTAATGTAGCAACATTTACCTGTTATGCTTGTCTTTAGGGGTCTTTTGTTCTTTTCACAGCCTTGTAGATGCACAATCATTACTGACATCATTAGCGCAAGATGTCAGCATTAAACTTTAATAACTGTTGCTTCACTTATCTACAGTTGAGACACATTGTAGTTCCCTCACAGTCTACGTTCCAAATGACAACAACTCCCAAATTTTACTCACAACAATGAATTAATAGATGTTTGTATGTTGAAAGTGTGCAGTATGAGTAAACCTGAGCCAGGGCTCTCTCTTTTGTTACCTGACACACAGCGGCGCATGTCCGGGCCCAGTTCCATGCTGTCGGGGCAGGCACAGGTGTATTTGGGTGAGTGTTCTGTGATTTGAGGAGCTCTGAGGCACAGATACTCACAGCCTCCGTTGGGCAAATTCCCCATGTTGCATGTGTCTGGAACTGCAGAGAAAAGCACAGTTTAATTCTGATAAATTAGCCTTTGGAATAGTTCTACAGTACTACAATACTAGAACGAGAGCTGAACTATTAATATGCATTGAATGCTAGACTGCAGAGCCAAACCCTGGAGGTAGTTCAATGTCATTTGTTTATCATATACAGTAGATATTAAAAAGAAATTGAGTGTTTCTTTTCAGTTTAATGCAGTTCAGAATTAGTTAAATGCGGTTGGTCATGGGTATATATTGGATGCTAAATAAACTAGATATTAAATACAGAAACAGTCATTTATCACTTAATTTATGGGTTCTAAGTATGACATATATTATTAACTAAAATATTTACAGCATTCAAAAGTCTGGAGGCAGTACGATTTTTCTTAATTTCCTAATTCTCATTAAATTAATGACAGTAAAAGTTATTTAAAAAATCTCAAATGCATGGTTCATATTTATTAATGGATCCTGAAAAATGTATTAGTTTCCACAAAAAACAACATTGAAACTAGGGGTGTAACGGATCACAACCCACGGTTCGGAACACACTTGACCCATGAATTAACAACTTTTTTTGAACTTGTCAGTATAACAATTACAAAGAGATCGCCTCCTGCGTTATTCAATTCAAGTGAATGAAAGCATTTCCCTGAAAAATATAAAGATTACAGAAAAAGTTGTGGTGGGACCTAAATGGTTTCTTAGGTTATTAATTAAAGGTGTTTTCTGTTACTGTACTAGTTTAAGCCTGCATTAATGCATTCAGTGCAAAGCTGCACAATTAAACATGAAAAGATTGTGATCTCAATTTAAACCCGAGCAACATGAATAATAAATGTTAATTATTTGCAAATGTTTATTAATCTTTCAAAGCATTGCATTCAAATCTGCATTTGATCGAGAGAGATTCAGTTATTTCACTTTTTTTAGTAAGTTACAAACAATTAAATAGCAAAATAATGGGATAACAGTTTATTATTCAGATATAAACACTGATGTTTATGGTAAGCTTAAAATCACCATTTAATGGAACTTGTTGCTGGTGTATGTTGTAGCAATTACAATGTTTAACCAATAGATGGCGACAAACAATCGTCAAAATTATGTCAATGAATGGGTTTCAAAAACTATACACCTATAATGAAACATGGAGTTTAATGTGTGAATGGTTAAATAATTAATTGAAAATAAATATGATAGGTTGTACAAGATGTTACATTTCATTATTTATCATTATCAGCAACAGTCGCAAAGATTATTTTTCATAATGAATATTTGCTGATTTGAAAATGGTCCAATCTGTGTGACTCAAAAACAGTAGTGTGATGCGAACCATGAGATTTGTGATCCGTTACACCATTAATTGAAAATGAGGGATATTTCATGAGCATTAAATACGCATGTAAAAATGATTTATGAATGACATTAAAGAAAGATTTTGTGTTGATAAAAAAGGTCATGTTTATTACAAAAGTGCTACACAGAGCAATTATTGACTAAGCTTAACACCGTATCCATACTTGAAACACCATACTGCGACATGATAAAAGCTATCTTTTCCATGTTAAAAGAAGCTTTTGTCCTAACTATCAATGACAGTTTCTATTTTTAGAAACCATTTGTATTTCTGTGATCACAGCTGAACAACAGCATAAACTACTATGACAATAACCACCTCAGGTACTGATTATGTGCTTTATTCAGTGTTAAATGCTTCCAATGTGAGTTTCAGTACCATTTTACATGACATTTACTGCCCAACTGAAAGCAGCAGCAGATTTTACCCAAGAAAACCTTGAAAAGAAAAAACTAGAGAACAGTAAATACAGTTTAAACATAAATTTAAGGACTGTGAACTCCAAATGCAAGTGCAAACCTATGACCAAGCATATACTTTTAAATAATGTTAATATTGTAATTTTCGATACCGGCAACGAAGTTGGGGATCCAAATGCAGTGCCATTATTAAACAAAGAATGGTCAGACAAGAAATGGTCAATCACAGGAGCCAAGAGTATCATACAAAGCAATTTAAAAGAGTAGTGGAGTCACAGGCGAAAAGATCCAGGTCCAATCGGCTTATAGCAAAAATCAATAAACAAAGCGACGGTCTTGAAACACGGCACAGAGAACAAAACAAGGAAACCCCATCATGATGCTACAGGATAGCAGGACTAAGCAATGTGAATGAGAAAGTTAGTTGTATGTATGTAATGAGTGACAACGAGCTACAGCTGTGTCTGTTTGTAAGTTTCTGGATTATTGTCAGCTGTTGCAGGAGTTAATGGGGTGCAAAGAGTTCTGGGAGTTGTGGTTATGCAGGCATACCAAAATAAATCTCCAGCGTTGATCGTGACAAATATGTAATAGGTTTTATATGTTAATTATGTAATAATCAGATTATAAAATGGTCCATTTGGTTGGGATTGCAGTGCACTATGCTGCGCTTCTGAATGCTTGTGGTATTTAAGTGTTTCTTTTGTGTTGAGCCTGGAGTGGACATCTAAATTGCTTGATGCTGGAATCTTGTCATGTCACATGTTGTTAGGACACGCACTGTGTAAGCAACTATAAATCCATCTTTTAATTTTGTGGTCATTTAAATGAATAGATTACCACAATGCAGGAAATCCATTCGAGATTAAAATGTTCTGCTTTGGAAACACCATTAAGAAGGCTCTTTCACTGAATAACATTTTATTTCTATCTTTTCCTTAAGAAGCGCTATCATAAAATCATGTTTTGTAAGGGATGCTAAGCTGATTAATATTTCACTCAGAGGCACTTGAGATACAATAAGCGGTTGGATTCCATTCTCATCATCTTTGGTTGAGCGCGTGTTTTCCCGCTTTCGTTAGCATTTTCAGAGCAACACGTTTAATTCTTTGATTTAGATTTCAACAGCACTTCTCATTTATTAATGTGAGGAGGCTGTAAATTGGTTCTTCTGCTGGGACGCTGCACGTGGCCTGTTTGTGATAAAAGGATGAAAACAAAGAACCCAAATCTGCACACACAGGCACACACACTGCCACTTTTATTTTCTCTGCCTGTCTCTGGAACATAAAAAAACAACAAATCACCATAAATATGCTATTCAATGATACGTTGCTATTACTGGAGAGTAAAAAAACAAGAGTCAGCAAACATTTGCCTCTCATCATTATAACAATGCTAAAAAGGTGACACTGAAAACAATACAGTTGAAGTTTTGTTTTTTATTAGCTCCTGAGAGGCATTAGCAGAATTAAGCGGGCATTTTATTACAGCTATAGCCTTGCGAAATGGCCTCTTCACACGTGAAAAGAGCAAGAACAAAAAGTTATTGCAGCTTAGTTTCTCTAAATCTTTTTGGACTTGAGTTTTGAGAGCACATCGAAGTCTCTTATCTTAGAAGATAAGAATGGTTTGATTTCTTATGATACAAGTTCTTTAATGAATTATAGTATCTGTCACTGGCTTTTAAGCTCAACAGATAAAACAGACTGAAAGTTATTTAAAAGTTCTGGGAAAGTAAAATGAAAAAAAAGCACTGAATTGATAAAAAGGGACATTAAAGACTTTTAAATTGTTGCAAATGTTTTTTTAATGTCTTGTTCTCCTTTTCAACTTTTTACAGAATTCATAAAAAATCTGTATCAGGCTTTCCACAACAGACGCAGCACAGCTATTTTCAGCACTTGTTTTGAGTGTGAATATTATTAATTACACTGTAAATAATAGCACAAGTTAACTGTTAAATGATAATCAGATGCTCAAAGATGTACCAGCAAAACACAGCAAAGCTTTTTAAAGATTGTATAATTTACAAAAAGAAACAATTCAGGCACTGAAACATCAAGCATATATTATTTAAGAATTTGTCTTGAGGATTTACCTTTCATTCATTCATTTTCTTTTTATGGCTTAGTCCCTTTATTAATCAGGTGTTGCCAACGCGGAATGAACCACCAACTTATCTAGCACATTCCAATCTACCTTTAATATACAAATTATTCATTCATTAATTTTCTTTTCAGCTTAGTCCCTATATTAATCAGGGATGAACCACTAACTTATTCAGCATATGTTTTACGCAGCAGATGCCCTTCCAGCCACAACTCGGCACTGGGAAACACCCATACACACCCATGCCTTCACATCCACACAAACACTATGGCAAATTTAGCTTTTTTAATTCACCTATAGAACATGTCTGTGGATTGAGGGGCAAACTGGAGAACCCGAAGGAAACCCATGCCAACAAAGGGAGAACATGCAAACTCCACACAGAAATGACAACTGACCCAGCCGGGGCTTGACCCAGAACAAAGCTTCTTGCTGTGAGGCGACAGTGCTACCTACTGCACCACTGTCACCATATACAAATTAAACACATTGAAAATACACTCAATACACTTGTTAAATGTACCTTTTTGGTAGTCATTCGTTAAAAAAAATGGAAGAAAAATGCTTAATATACGAGAAAAACTAAATAACTTCAAACAACTGTTTAGCCTATACACATGTGTTGTTGTAAAGTTGCTTGCCATCTTTCTGTATTGATCTAAAGACTATAGAATACACAAGACGTGTCACTCGTATAGTTTTGAATGGGGAAAAGTGTAACGTCAATACAGTAAATGAAGCCCCATCTTCAAGTACAGGAGCCAATCATCGATCGCTGTAAACTGAGGATTTTACGAAAGTTTCTGTAGTCAACAAACGCACTAGAATGTCAGCGAATACTTGCTTCAAAGACATGAGAAATATATCAGCATATCTTGAAATCTGGACTTGAACCAGAAATGAACCAACCACACTTGAAAACAAATGTTTTTTGGTCTTGTAATCTGCATGAAATGAACATGAGGTACAGTTCATTCTGTCAAACACAAATCACAGGACAGCAACTACATAAAAGCCCACAAACTTGTAAACAAAGAGTCGCTGTCATTTCGGGAGGAGATTTGCCATAAATAACAAGTTGTGAATTACTTCAGGAGAGCAGGACGATCAGATAAGGCATTATTCAGATAATAATGTGTAACACGCCAAAAAATTAGGTTGGTGGCGTAATCTCATTTATTTCTGATGTGCATTAGCTTGGGCAATCTGAAAAAGTTTTGTTTCATTTGAATGTTTACAAACAAAACATATAAGGCAGTTGTTTAATTTTATTGGTAATTCCAAATATGTAATGTATTAATAAGCTTTGCAAACAGTTTTGGAGAATTTGATGTTTCCCCATTCAAACAGAATCCCAGAGCATTCTGCTTGAGCGGTGTTTCAAAGATGGCTGTCGAGTGAAATGACTAGCCTTAAAGCAGGGGTGTCCAAACTCCATCCTGAGAGTTTAGCTCCCTAATCAAACACACCTGAACCAGCTAATCAAGCTCTTACTAGATATACTAGAAACTTCCTGGCAGGTGTGTTGAAGTGAGTTGGAGCTAATTTCAGCAGGACATCGAGTTTGGACACCCCTGCCTTAAAGGAACTTTGGCTGTGTCCAAAACCGCATAATTCCATACTATATAGTACGCTAAAATCAATATGTGAGTCGAGTAGCATATCTGAATTCATAGAATTCAAAAATCAGTATGCGAGAAGTACCCGGATGACTTACTACTTCCGGCAAGATTCTGGAGTGCGCATTCCATGCACACTGCGCTATCCCATAATGCCCGCGAGAGAATTCATGAATCGAAGTGAGGCGACTCAATTGACACAGGTAGGTCACATGACCATGACAAAATGGCGGATGTAGTACGTCCGAATTCCATTCATACGTTTACATTCAAATGCAGTACCTACTGAGTAGTAGGCGGTTTCGGACACAGCCTTTAATTAAGCTTATTTCTCACCTTTAGGCTGCCGGAGCTCATGAAACACCACCACGTCCAATGGGTTGTTGAGATGTTGAGCCAGCATCACCACATCATTTCCTGTCAGGCGGTTTACACTGTAGATGGCCTCATATTCCAAGTCTGTCCAGTAAACCCGGTCCTGCAGGAACATTTGCATTTTCATTCACTCTTAGAATAAATATCCGTGTTGTAATAGTTCACCAAGTAATCTCATCCAACCTATTCAGAAGTAAAATCATTTCATGAAATTAAAAGACACTCAATATTTGTATAATTTTTTGAAATAAATACATCTATCGTGCCTAATTGAAGATTATTACAAAAGTATTTTCACATTTAATTTTCATACATTTGATTTGAATCATATATAAAGTAAACATTTTACATATATTATTTCTTTTCAAGATTATTTGATGAATTGAAAGTTCAAAAGTACTGTATTGATTGTAAACAGAAATATTTTATTTTAACAATATATTTAAGCTGATTGTAACTGTAGCTTTTGTGGTGTTTTCCCCAAGGAAGGTCCTATATAATTGCATGACACTCCTGAATATAAATACTGTCACTGCGCATGAATATTTTCTTGTGAAAGGTTATTTCCCAATACCGACGCACAGAACTCAAATGACACTTGGATAGTATAAATCAAAAGCTTGTCATTTTGAAGGTCATGTATTTATTTCTGCATGATGCAATGCACCAAAATACTCGAGAGAAAGCGAGGAAGATGAAAATGAAGATAAACGCTCCTGCTTCTTTTAGACCACAAAGGTTTTTCATCAGACTAATTAAAGCTCACAGCACATCTCTGTTCTCCATCTACACCTACATGAGCCTGAAAGCGCAGGCTGGGCTTCTCTTTACTACTCCTCTGATCAGCCCTTATCAGCCACTACAGAAATATTGCACATGTGCATGGTGAGATGAGCTGCCACAATGACAGCCAGAGATGCATCTCCTTTTCAGACAGATACGGAAATGGAGGAGGAAGATGGAGGAGGAGGACACAGGCTATATTTGCACAAGTGTGTTCTCATTTGAATGCAGTCCTATGTATGTTTTTGAACTTAAATACTGTTTCTAAAATTATTTTAGTGGTAGAATAACTTTTAACTATGGTTGAATTCTGCTGCTGAGACTCCCAGATCTGCCTCCTGTCACCTGAAATCAAGCATGCAACTTTTGGTCAGCCAAAGGGCAAATGCAAACTTGGGGATATACAGTATATCAGTATATACATCACATGTTGTTTTCTTGGCGCAAGTAGAGTTAGCTAAAAGCTAACTGTTAGATTAAATTTTGTACACTTTTTTGTATAATTATATAGTTACTTACATTTTATATTGTTTTACCTTGTTTTGTTCTGAATACATTTAAAAGAATTTGCCATCTTTTTTTTCTCTCAACACAGATACCATTGTGAGGTGTTCTATTTGTACATAGGTAACAATTAAGTACTATTATTTTACAGCTACTTTTAGTGTCACCGACTCGGTCCCAGTCATTCCCCTCGCTGGCCAGCAGAGGCCACCATCTCCGGACTTCTAAGCATTACATCATCCATTTACCCTGATCATGCACACCTGAACTGAATCCCGCTAATGACCCACGTACCCTTTATAAGCCAGCACCAAACGCTCATTCAGTGCAAAGTCTTGTTTAGCCCCGGCCAGCATTTCTGAGCGGTATTCCTGCCTGACTCCTTGTGTATTACTCCAGCCTGTTTTTTGACTCTGCTTCGCCTTCTGCCTGCCCACGACCCACGCCTTGTATACGGACTCTGATACTCGCTGCCTGCCCACGAACCACGCCTGTTATACGGACTCTGATGTTCGCTACCTGCCCACGACCCACGCCTGGTTCACGGACTCTGATACTAGCAGCCTGCCCTCGATCTATGCCTGGTAATACTCCCTGTGTCTATTCATCGCCAGTCTTTATTCATCATAGACTGTTGTTGTTGTGTGTTTGCACGTTAGTGCATATTGTGTGTGTGAATAAGTGCTTGAGCAATAAATACTGCATGATGGATCCCTCCGTGTCAGTCTCCTCGTTACATTTAGCTTCTGTTGTACATTTTCAGTCCCTTTCTAAAATGTAGTAAAAAGGCCAGTATGAACTTTTACAATGCTGTATTAAAACTACTAAGTGAAAAATCTGGAGTAAACCGAGCACGCTCATGTGTGCATCTGCTACAAGTATTGGAAAATGTTTACAGAGCTTTGTTTTTTTTTTTTTTTTTTCTTTGGAAAGGTCAGGCTTCTGGATCCCAGCAGAGCTCTGATCAGTAGGACTCCTTAACCTGCACTACACTGCATTCAAACTCTGCCGCATTGCAGCTCTCATCAAACACACGGACCATGATATCTGATCAAGATAACTGCTTAAATCCATGACACACAAAGCTTTGAACATCCATGTCTGAAATTTGTACTCCTTGAGAGAGGGGGGGGGGGGGGCTCTTTATTAAAACCCTTCATCATATTCTTGGCTTCATTTGGAAAAGGAGCGACTCTCCCTGTGGGATTTGATCGGTCTTGACATTTTCACTGCTGCCCACTAGGCCAGTGAAATAATGTGAATGCCGGTGTGGAGATATTGGTGTGTTTTATGAGACAGGGCATTGTAAAGGTCATATAATGTCTGATAAGGTGACTGGAAAATCAAGCACATTTCTTAGATGTAATTTGAGATCTGGTGTGTTAAGAGATAATATGTGACACGCAACTCCATTGTTTAACTAAGACTGTGACATTGCTACCAAATAATAATTAGTCATTCATGTTTAAAAAAGTATATTTTAAATACTAATATTTGAATAAATGAATGACAAGAAAAAGCCTACCAACTCAGACTTTGTCCAAAACCGCATACTTTCATACTATATAGTATGCTAAAAACAGTATGCAAGCCAAGTAGTATAGATTGAAATTTGAACATCAGTATGACCTACTACTTTTGGCGAGATTCTGAAATGCGCACCGAATGGATGCTACGCTATCCCATGATGCACTATGAAAGAATTCATGAATGGGACTGATATGGGTAGGTCACGTGATGATGACAAAATGGCAGATATAGTTCGTCTGAGTTACATTCACACTGCTCATATAACATACTTTTCAAACAGCCTTGTAGCAAATGTTTGTACTAGATGTTAAATGTTTGTCTCAATGTTAGTAGTCTGCAAGATTTAAAAATAAATAAACATTACTTTTTGGAAAGCTGAATACATTTGTTCAAGGTTCCTATATGAAATACAAAGTTCTAAATAAAACAACTGTCAATTTTAATATTTGCTGAGCAAAAGCATTACATTTCTTGGTCCCACTTTATATTAAGTGTCCTTAACTACTATGCAATTGTATCAAAAATAAATACAATGTACTTACTGTGTTCAAAATGTATTTGAGTTCACTTGTGGTGCTCTTAAGTTGAGATAGGGGTTGGGTTATGAACACGTTTGGTGGTATGGGTAGGTTTAAGGGTGGGTTAAGGTGTAAGGGATGGTCAGCAGTGTATTTACAAATGTAACTACAGAAGTTAATTACAGGTGTAGTTACATACAGGTATTTGTTCAAGCATAAGTACACAGTAAATACATTTATTTACACAATAAGTACACTGTAACAAACTATTAATTCTTGTGTAAGTACATATTAGTTAAGGCCACTAAATATAAAGTGGGACCCATTTCTTTAACAAAGTATTAGACAGAATATAGTAATAATATAATATATATTTTTAAATTATATATTTTTAATTTATTATATTAAATTAAATAAATTATTATAATCTAAAATTCAAAATCTGTGTCCACAGAAAATATGAACATATATAGCATATTATACTGATCATTTCACAAAAATTATTATATACATATATAGCATATAATATTGATCATTTCACAAAATGAATGCCATATAGGTTAGCCACAAAATATGACACAAAGAAGCAAAAAATTAATAATCCTAAAAAAAACCTAGGTTGCTAGTGGAAGGGGTGTTAGTGAGGCCAGTAGGGGGCACTCAACCTGCGGTCTGTTTAGCTACATCCCAAATGGCACACTATACACTATGCACTTATGAACAATGTACTTATGCACCTACACACTTAACAGCATCGTATATGAATGTAGTGTTGAACCAAATGGAAAAACACTAATGTTTTTTTACTAAGCAGAAATTCAAACCATTTCCTTGATAACATTTGACAGTGGCCAAGTTTACATTTACATTTACATTTAGCAGATGCTTTTATCTAAAGCGACTTAAAAATGAGGACAAGGAAGCAATTTACACAACCAAGAGCAACAATGAATAAGTGCCATAGACAAGTTTCAGGTCTGTAAAGTCTAAGAAGGGAAGTATTAGTAGTATTTTTAAAAAAAAATTTTTTTTTGTACAGTTAGTGTGATATTTTGAGAGGCAATTGCAGATTAGGAAGTGTAGTGGAGACTAAATAGTTGGGTTTTTAGTAGTTTCTTGAAAGTAGCGAGTGACTCTGCTGTTCTGATGCAGTTAGGGAGTTCATTCCATCAACTGAGCAGATTGAGCGTGAGCGTTCGCGAAAGTGATTTCTTCCCTCTTTGGGATGGAACCACGAGGCGACGTTCATTAACAGAACGCAAGTTTCTGGAGGGCACATAGATCTGCAGAAGTGAGAGCAGATAAGAAGGAGCAAGGCCAGAAGTCACTTTGTAGGCAAACATCAGAGCTTTGAATTTGATGCGAGCAGCAACTGGCAGCCAGTGCAAACGAACTAGCAGCGGAGTGACATGTGCTCGTTTAGGTTCATTGAAGACCACTCGTGCTGCTGCATTCTGGAGCAGCTGAAGAGGCTTGATAGAGTTAGCTGGAAGCCCAGCTAGTAGAGAGTTGCAGTAATCCAGTTTGGAGAGAACAAGAGCTTGAAGTTAGCGTAATAAAAGACCAAATTAACTAAAAATAACTGCCATGAGTTTTACCGCATTCACCACACCATCGGGAGGTGCTATAATCACTCTTGAAGGAGAATTTTGCTTTCATAATACAAAGTAAATAAAGTAATCCAACAAGTGCACCTGAAAGCTCCACCCATTCCGCTACATGAGCAAAGCTGTGGTCGTTGAGTGTGTGAAGTGTCCAACATTCCACACTTCATTTTAATGGTTAAGTAAGTGCATCATCCGGGTAAAATGCACTTAAAATTTTTTGAGTTTTCAGTGTGAACACACTACTTACATTATATATACTACAAAATGGTGTAGAATTGTGCATAAGTATGCGATTTGGGACACACCTTTTGACTCCCAGTAAAGTGAAGGGGACACTATACTGTCAGTCTTTCGGATAAGACATTACACTGAGGTTCTGACTCTATGTGATCATTAAAAATCCCATGGCACTTCTCGTAAAGAGTAGGGTTGGAGCTCCAGGGTCCTAGCCAAATTCCATCCAACGCCCCTTACCCATCATTGCCTCCCAATCATCCCCATCAACCAAACTGACTCTATCACTGTCTCTCCACTCCACCAATAGCTGGTGTATGGTGAGCGCATTGGCGTCGTTGTCCTGTGACATCACCCCCCCCTTCGCACCATGATTGTGAAGCGCTTTGGGTGTATGGTCATACACAATAAATGCGCTAAATACACACATTATTTTTACATTTTTACTAGGGATGCACGATATATCGGTGGCCATATCGTTATTGGCCGATAAATGTGATTTTTAAGATTATCGTTATAGATCTGATGTCTGAATTAGGCCGATACCTTTAAGCCAATAAGTTGCATAATTGTACGCATATGTATTGTATGTGTGGGTGATACTTGTTCAGACTTGTCCAGTGCCTTTAATGGATCTCTCCTTACAGTCACATTGTTTATTCCTTCAAAGTCCGTCTTTTCTTCATGTGGTATTGCTTTGTGTTAATAACGCAGTAAGTAACCATGGTCCTCATAATTGTAGATACAATAAAATAAGTGCCGTTGTGTATGCTTTAAATTGCCTCAGGAAAAAATATTACATGTGTAAACAACAGCAGCGATGCACACGTGCTAAACAAGTAGTTGGGTTGTTTGTAATCTAATATGATTATTTGTTAATATCAACGCGTTGCTTGCCATGTGTTGTTGATGTAAGATTGTATTTAGTTTGATCGGAATATTCATATTGATTATAACGAGCGCGCGTGAGGGCTGTCACCGCACACACACTGACCTGACAGCCTTTACAGCAGCATGGGGGAGAAGTGCGCCAGTCATTGAATCCAGCATAGGGGCTCTCAACTCCCCGCACATTCTATCTTTATATTATGCTCTGTGTTTGTCATAAAGTCATCTGTGCTCAATGATCAGGCGTTGTGTCAAAATCTGACTCCGAGGGCAAATCTGTGCCCGTAGTTGAGGGAAACTCGCAGCGGTTTATCATAAACTTTTCATTAATCATTTTTCCTGCAATTGACAGCAAGAACAAACACAGAAGCATTGTCTGATTGACAAGCAACAGCTACATGTGTTCAAAAGAATCTAAAACGCCAAATAGGATGAATCTATGCTGCATTTTCTTAAGTAATAATCTGTATTCAGCTTTTCGCTTGTACGGTGGCTCTGAACTGTCAAAACACCTTTAAAAAAGGCTTTTTCGGACATGAAATATTTGTACATCACTGTAACACATTTTACTCAAGAACATTTGAGCTGGTTTCAGTCCTTAGCTCATTCATTTTCCTTTTATTTAACTTGCTTGTTGATTTAATCCCATTTTGTTATTTAACCTATTATTTTTATGCAATAGTCAAGCTGCATGTTAATTTACTATAAAGAAAAGGAAATAATTTATTTTTTGCAAGCTGATTTATGTGAAATCCTGAATATACTGTAGGTCTATATAATCACCTTGCAATTTTGAAATTATAGCTTTTTTGCTTTGAGTATAGACCTTTCAGTTTATAAGAGCAGTTCAATCGTTGATGAAGTTTGCTGTATAAAAATATACAATTTTGAAATATTTATAATTATCGGCCTATATATATTATATATATATATATATCCGCTATCGGCCTCCAAGTCTGAAGAGTTATAGGTTATCAATATCACCCAAAAAATCCATATCGGTGCATCCCTAATTTTTACATTAAAAAAACCATCCTATTCAGTAATATCAGTTTTTATTTCTCAATGTTTTAAGTTCACTTTTAAGTTGCCGACTTATTAAAAATAATGAACCGAAATAATGAGCCTACTGGAATTGACTCTGGCACCTAGCACTGTACTCTAGAAATATTTCTTTGCTCTTTTAGCAATGCCACCAAAAAGTTGGAGGGGCGATTTCTGTGCTTTCAGCAGCCAAGTGGAGAACTGTAAGAGTTCAGAACCAGCCTCAAAAGTACTGCAGTAATGCAGAGTTTCATTTTTCATCTACCCTGGACAAAAGTCAAAGGCTGAAGAAAATGCATTGTTTCCTTTTTCTCAGGCTCAGCCCCAGGGTGCCCTTTTACTGAGCTCATCGACTGGCCTGATGAAGGGCATTAGGAGATCTATTGCTCAGGCCAGGTCCTGCCTTTAGGTGCCCTAGAAGCTGCCAAAGTAAAAAGGCTTTTTAATTTGGATTGTGTCTTTAACTGGTGCCAGCCACCCACAGCCGTACATCTCTTGGCCAGTGTTGCAGTCTCACAGTGAGATGTACTGCTTCTCCAACTACACCCTCTAAGCAAAAATGTGTTCATGTGTGCATCACAAAGCCAAACTGAATCTAAAAACATCTCAAGGACTGCTTGTGCCAGTGCAGCCCCATCTGTGCACAATAATGTGAGCATGTCATTTCATAGATTTGCTTGCCTCGAAAAGAGTAAGAGCGAAGGGATGTCCCAGTTGATCCATGGAAGACAGCAAAATTCTTCGGTTGTCTCCATTCAGGTCCACGCTGGAGATCAGATGCAGCTTTGAATCCACCCAATAGAGTCGACTGCTTGACAGATCTGGAGGAAAGAGATTTTAAGGAAACACATAAATGTAGCAATCAGTAATACAACTAACGCTTTGAATTTAACATAAGCGGTCAAAGTAAATGTAGCACGTCATGGGATTATACATATTTCAGTTCATGTGTCAAAATATGGCCACATTTCGCTGTCTGTTTCAAATTAAATGTACTTGTCAGATATATTTATATCAAAATTAAACATTGTATCCATACTTAAATGACTAAAAAAACACTCAAAAGAATATGTTATTTTATTAAATTATATTCATTCATATATTCATTCTTCTTTGGCTTAGTCCCTTATTTATCAGAGGTCGCAACAGGGGAATAAACTAACCATTTATTCTAGCATATGTTTTACAAAGTGAATGCCCTTCCAGCAGCAACCCAGAACTGGGAAATACCCACACACTTCATTCACACACATTCATACACTATGGACAACTTATTTCATTCAATTAACCTATTCAGTATGTCTTTGAACTGCAAACGTGCAAACTCCACACAGAAATGCCTACTGGCCCAGCCAGGACTCGAACCAGGGACCTCATTGCTGTGAGGCGACAATGCCAATATTAAGCTACTGTGTCACTTAATTATAATTTTAATGATTAACGAAACAGCTTACAAATGGTTAAAACCTAATGATTTAAAGTGAAAAATGAAAATTCTGTCATCATTTACTCTCCCTTCACTCGTTCCAAAGCTGTTTGAGTTTCATTCTTCTGTGAATACAAATAAGGTATTTAAAAAAACTACAACATGTAACCATTGACTTCCTTAGTATTACTGAATTTTAAAAACTTACCTACTATGAAAGTCAATGGTTTGCGATTTTGGATTTCTTCTCAAAATTTTATTTCAAGAGTTCACACTTAGCTGATGATTGGTAATAAGCTAGTTTGGCATGCTGTCCCGGGAGAGAGCCCCGAGCTCATGAGAGCCTCGAGCCCGGGGCTCCCTCCCGTTGCAGGGCGAGAGGGGAGTTTGAGCTCGGGTAGATCTCGAGAACCCCCCTCCCTCCTGCTGCGTGAGGGTTGCTAAGGTGATGCGTTGCTGATAGAATTGAATCAAATTTGGTTCTAATTTGGATTAGTCAATTTACTAAAGTGTCATGTTTTTGGGAGTGTGGGAGGAAACCGGAGGACCCGGGGAAAACCCACGCAAGCACGGGGAGAACATGAACTCCGCACAAAAATGCTGACCGTTTGGGTAGATGCCCGAAGCGGTGGCATTTTGCTGTGAGGCTGCAGTGCTAGCCACTGGGCCGCCGTGCTGCCCTGTAGACAAAGGAGGAGGCGAAGGGGTGGAAGGGGGGGATTCTTGAAGACGAAGATGACTAAAGGTAAGGTGTTTGGTTATTTATACTTGGTTAGGAGTAGTCTGATTGGTGGTTCGTACATTAGCTTGACTCGGGGCCAGCCGTGTCAATCATAAGCACGTGATCCTCTCGAAATTAGTTTATGAATAAACTTCACTTTGTATTCAATAAAAACACTTGACTGTGAGTAAATAATGAGTAAATTTAGATTTGTGGGTGAACAATCCTTTTAAAGATACTGGCAAAGTTTAAAGATTAGTATTTTTAGGGCTGAAGTGTGACCCCTAAATAGAGTTCACAAGACACTCTCTCAGAAAAACAATTACAGAAATTTTATTTTGCATGATATTGCCATCAAATTTAAATATTCAAACACGTACCCAGGAGATGTGTGGCTTTTGACCTATTACTTTTCTGTATAGCTTCAGGACTAATTTCATATATTTGTTTATGAAATAATAAATTGTTTAGTGCGGTGCAATTCTTTTTCATTACTTAATCATCCATAACTTTTTTCGTTTTGAGCATTAAAAATTCTAGATGATGAATAGTGACTAAAGTGAATTCTTTCCAAAGATTTATGAACTGTGAAAGTACTGCAGACCAAATTATTCAGTACTGTTGCTGCTTTAGTTTGGCAAGGTCATTTTTGAGAAAGTGCCTCTGACAGTGAGGGAAAGAAGGACACCGATATAGTGTCAGAAAACGTAATCAAATTTGAAATATAAACTCATGAGACACTTGGGCTGCGTCCGAAACCGCATACTTCCATACTATATAGTACGCTAAAATCAGTATGCGAGCCGAGTAGTATGTCCGAATTCATAGAATTCGAAAATCAGTAGGTGAGAAGTACCCGGATGACTTACTACTTCCGGCGAGATTCTAAAGTGCGCATCCCATGCACGCTGCGCTATCCCATAATGCCCCGTGAGCGAATTCATGAATGGATGTGAGGCAACGCAACCGACGCAGGTAGGTCACATGACCATGACAAAATGGCGGATGTAGTACGTCCGAATTCCATTAATACTTTTTACATTCATACTGTATAGAACGTACTTTTCTAACGGCCGAGTAGTACGTTTAAATTCAAATGCAGTACCTACTGAGTAGTTGGCGGTTTCGGACGCAGCCTTGGCTTTCAAGGCATATTTTTTTTCATAAATTAATGTTTTTCTGTGTTTCGATATGAAAAAAATTGAACATAGTACAATTAATAATAATGTATGAAGTCATAACTTTTCATATTCTTTAGCGTAGAACTTTGTAGATAGACCATAGTAAAGCTGAAAGTGCGGTCTTTCCAATGATACCTAATTTGTGTTTGTAGCTTACTGGGGTCAAGAACTATTACTATTTAAAGTTAGGTAGGTGTAAATGCTCAAAAGTGAGTGCTGGCTAACAGGTTAATGTTTCATAAATTATTCTTTTAAAATATATGAAAAGTTTATTTGATGTGATAAAAAGTGGTATTTTATATGTAGTTAAACTGACGTTCTACTTGATTTGATCTCAAACAGAACATGTTAATGCATGAAAAAAACTCAATCAAAGATCTTTTTTTATTGTTTTGATGCTTAAACCCCCCATTTTGTCTGCAACCCTCATATTTTATGATTCAACAAAAAATCAAGGAAGTCTGAAATGAAATGTAGACACAAATGAAAGCACAATCAAGGACAAAAAACAAAACAAATACACCTAAAAAATTTTCAGCTTTTCTCCCATTAAAAAGTATTTTGTTTCTAAGCAGATTTAGCAATTCTCAAATCTGCCATTTTTGTCAATATTTTTTTTTCTATCCCTCTACTATAACTGCTTTTTCAAATAGCTTTCATGTTAAGTGAGCCAGAGAAATGATGGCGATATTGACAGCGCTGCTTGAGCAATTCCATTTAGTTTTTCGCAAACTGACGGATGATTGATGAGAAACAATGAAGGTGAATGATTCAAAGCCCTGTTGGCCACAGGAGGCTGCTCTTCATTATTAACACTCTTTCTGCGTTTGTTTGGTCTTTCTCAACCCTAATGTTTTCTCTTTTTCTCCTCCAGCATTTTGGTTGATGTCTTTGTCTGTCGTAATGATGGCAAATGCAGCTCTCTCGTGTCTTCATTTCGTTATGATATGCTTTGTTTTGCTTTTTGCTGCTTCTCTTTTATCTGGTTTTGTCTTGTTTTTGCTATTCTCCAGTGTGTGTTTTTGTACTTTGACTATTTTGATGATGTGAATACATTTGTTAGGAATGAGAACCTGAATTGCAAAACACTGAAATGATGTTTTACCAAGTGCAATCCCATTGGGCCATTCGATTCTCTCTGAAACCAGAACTTGCCGATCCACTCCATTCATCCCGGCTTTCTCAATCTTGGCCTGCGCTCCCCAATCTGACCAGTACATGAACCTGCAATACAAGAGTTACATGATCAGAATCTGTAAATCTAGACGGGTGGTTTTTAAGCTTTGTGAATATAAGGCTCCTCACTATCGATCACACTTTTTGAAGGTGCTTTATACTTTTCCAGTTATTTGGAATTTAATGGATAAAAATTGAGGGTAAGTATATAAAAAATACAGCCAGAATCAGCCATTCTTCTGAATTGTAGATTAATGCGTTGCCATTGAAACTAAAATGAAAACAGTGTAACGTTCTAAGGGGCCACTCAAACAGATCACACTTTACATTTTAATGTGCAACTTTTCCATTGTTTTACAATGTACTGTAATGCTCGCATCTAACATCTTTTGCAGTGCCTCGCACATGAGCGCACATTTTTAAGACACCACATTGAGTTAAAATAATTTCAGATTTTTACATGCACCAGCATATCAGTGTTCTTTCCAAAGTAGTGGGCTAACCAGAAGAACTCAGAGGCAGACCAAACATTAGGAGATTCTGATAGATAGACATATGGATAGATGGATGGATACAGTGCATCTGGAAAGTAACCAGAAGAAATCAGAGGCAGACCAAACATTAGGAGATTCTGATGGATGGAAGGATGGATGAATGGATGGATGGATGGATAGATGGATGGATGGATACAGTGCATCCGGAAAGTAAGCAGAAGAACTCAGAGGCAGACCAAACATTAGAAGATTCTGACAGACAGACAGACAGACAGACAGACAGACAGACAGACAGACAGACAGACAGATATAGATAGATAGATAGATAGATAGATAGATAGATAGATAGATAGATAGATAGATAGATAGATAGATAGATAGATAGATAGATAGATAGATAGATAGATAGATAGATAGATAGATAGATAGATAGATAGATAGATAGATAGATAGATGGAATGATAGAAGGGTGGGTGGGTTGGTGGGTGGATGGATGGGTGGATAGAACTTTTAAATATGAAATGAAATACATTTAAATAAAACAAAAACAAATAAAATATTTTGGGTGATTTTTGGGTGGGCTTTGGACAGTTTTATGGCTGGTAACATTCAAGTGTATCTGGCAACACTGGTTGGCATGACAACAGTAATGTACTAGCTATTTACAAGATTTTATGACTACAAAATATGAAGAATTCAGATGCCAATATCTCTAAATGCTGTCTGAAATGTTCTTATCAATATCATTTTTGTGTTCATGTTTTGTTTACGTTCAGTTATTTTACTTTAAAGGTAATGAAAAGATCTTATCTGTCAATATAGAAATAAAATTACTGAGCCTACACATAGGAGTCAGAGAAAAATGCTAATTGTACAAAAAAGTCAAACGGCATTTAGAGGATTTTGCTTCTACACTCTTCATTTGCACAGACATGGCTAGCACACAAAAGTTAATTAAAAAAACAAGCAAACTGAGAGATGCTGATAAAATAAAAATCAAAGCAGACGGGGAAACTGTGTTAAATAGGCTACTGTGCAATAGATCTGAACATGATAAAATGTGTAAATCTGATGTTTAACAATTTTACTGGCATCTGAGCATATTTAAATCAGCAAACATATTCAATAAATGAAGATGCAAAAAAAGTTTAGGAATTTTACTGGTTTAGTGCCACAAAACATTCATGTTATCAAACAAATGAGATCGAGTTAAGCGGGAAATTAGGACACTCCAATGGCCTTGAGACTTTTGGTGTCCATCATCCGTCAAAAATCAAGATGAATAGGTACAGTAAGGGAATCATCATTAAAAGATTCAGTATTTCACTCTGGCCTGATAAGAGTGAAGTGGCTACTTTACCCACAGGCAACAATTAGGTATGCCGACCAGCCTGAGCCTCATTTGCATGTTTTTCATGCTCTTCTACTTCAGTAATACGGTGAAAAGAGCCCTGAGGGGAAAGATTCTTCACCATGAATGCCAGGGAAAAATGATATGAAGTAAACCTTTGACAAGGTTTTCAAAAATCTTGGCGAGCCATCATAGATCATACGCCATACATCATATTTACATTTTTTACTACTATTTAAAGCAGCAGAACAGATTATTTAAGTAGTGTTTGTTTTTAGCCTGCTAAAAACATCCACATTTGTTTACTTGATTGACATCATGCACATTTTCAAATGGTATTCAAAGTTTTTAAATTAAACTGGATATTGTTACCCTTGTCGTGGGTCTACAGCAATAGCACGTGGTTCTCCGAGCTCGGTATCAATCAACACCTTCCTCTTCTTGCCATCGACATTAGCAACAGAGATGGTTTTGTGTCCAGAGTCCGTCCAGTAGATGTTCTTATGAACCCAGTCCATCGCTAAGCCTTCTGGGGAATGTAGTGCGGTGTCTATGAGAGTGATCTGCTCTGATGAGTTGTTGGCTTTGTTGATGTATGCGCTGAAGAGGAATAAAAATACAGTTAATGTACATCCACAACACTTAAGCAGATGTTATGTATTTCTCTTTTCACAAACAATCACAAAGCAATAGATGCATTCACCTGATATATGGCAAATGTGCACATCATAAATAGCTGACACGCCCAGCTGTTGCTTACATTTACATATGCAGCTAATTGAAGCTACATCTGCATGTCTCTCAAAGAGCAACTGTAGGACAGAATGGAGTATTCTTGCTCATTTTTTAATGTGAAAGCTACAGTGCTTTACCGTAAAGCAAATATGACTGCTCTTTTGAAACATGGTGAAATCTGATGCTACTGTGACTGATCTAATGATTCTCTTGTGAGAAAGCAGCACATCATTTTTGGTGTCACCTTCATCATTTGACAAAAAGTAGTCCATTTGAAAGCCACACACCTGCAGACAGGATGGATGAATGTGTGGATAGATGGATGGATAGATAGATAGGTGGATGGATGGATGATAGATGAACTTTTTTCTTTTCAATGGGTCACAGCTTAAAAAAAGACTATTGAAATGAATAAAAAACATCCATTATTTCTCTTTTATGCTATCTTTCTCTTATAAACACTATTAAAGCATTTTAGATGTATAAGAAATGTAATATCGTCACCTTATTATAAGGTTCTATTTGACATTTTTGTCAAAATTGAGTTATTGACATATTCTTATTAAATGACATCTTATGTACATTATGAGATTTTTATATTTATATACACACACACTGTCTGCTATGGAATACAAAAACTTTATCTCAAAATCATTCAGAACGCAGATAGAACCTTATAATTCCAAGGTGACGATATATTGCCATCATTAAATGAATCGAATATACAGCAAATGAGAAATAAAGGACAGAAAAAAGGAATAAAACCAGACAATATCTCTAAAAATTATAATTATTACAGCAATAAAACCTGATTTTTTAACAAATGAGTTGATTACCCATTTCTAATGGTGCATATATATTCTGCAGCCAATTTAGATGTATTTTAGTCCTCTCTGAGTATTCAGCAAAGTTTTTTTGAGTTGTTAAGATTAAATAATTAATTATTTAATATCTCGTGCGCATAAAAATAACGACAGCTTAGAAAACGAAAGCAAAACCAAATCCCAGACATTTTAGTAGATCTGCAATCCCCGGCTGGATGCAAAAAGGTGCGGGTCTCTGTGGGTCTGCAGGGCACGTGAGACTGTCTGTCTTGTGCACACAGAACGAGTAGTATGAAACAGGTAAATGAGAGAAGATTTTCTACAACTTAATCGTTAATATACCTGGGCGGTCCACCCAAGTAAAGTCTATGTGTGGGAAGCACTGTAGATAGATTTTTAAATTCTATGTTTGATGTAATCTTAACCAAAACATGAAGGAAATGTGGGACAGAGTAGCTCCTCCACTTAAAAAAACAGCCAATAACGTTTTGCTTTATCACAACTCTGCAGGTGAGAGTGGTTGAGATCAAGTGCATCCCATTAAAAGCAAATGTGAAGCGTCTTTAAGGTTTTTTTAAAGGGTTAATTTGAAGCTGAAGTATGAGGTGATGTGAATAAAACTGTTGAACAATGTAGGCGGAAGTGCCAAACTACAAGCTTTACATGTTTAAATTAGTTTTTTATCTTTTAAACGTGAACCTTATCACTGTTTTGGAGCACACTAGCTTATAAATATCCTAAAAACTAGCAATAATGCAAACATCTAAAAACATTTTAAAACACAGCACTTATACGTAGCACAGCACTTATGCGCTCACAGCACTTCAAATCTTCTAAATATTTACTAGTGATCTCAAACTGGAAAAGGCACCCGTTTCTTAAAATGACCTCAGACTGGCAGAGAGGGGGAGGTTTGAGTTCACCAGGTAATTTTCTACTTGCACTCACCTACTGCCTTTAACAGATGCTGCTTCAACAGCCATCAAAATGGACCCATCTCCCCTCATAATAGCGCAGGACTTTGATACGCTCTTTTCAGAGTGGATCTTAAGTGAATCACAAGGACAGAGGAAACAGCAGCCAGGGAACATTTCTCTTGTGCTCTCGCTGGCTTGACTAGAGGCTCTATTAATAGGAACAGGTTCCCTGGCCTAAATGCTGATGATTCACAAATGAGTCATCGCAAGAGGGAAAAATTAATGGGATAAAGTGTTACGCGCTTAAACAATACTCGCCATAAATAATGAGAACGTAATATGACGTCAACCACTCAGTAGCAGCTTCTTTTTTTAAAATCATTTTAATGATAGTAAAATGAGGTGCTTTCAATAAATGACTACGATGCAGCTATGGAGCTAATGTGCAAGCTATATGACATTACCAAATGTACTAGTACATCTTGTCCCAACTGGGTCCAACAATAGTTCTCAAAATTAAATTAAGTTTAAGTGCTGAATAATGTGGCAGTCACACAATAGTTAACCATGCATTTTATTAATAATAGTTCACTTATTTTATTCACTGTAAAAGGGATTATTCAGTACCAGTTAACAAAAATTTTCTTCATTGTTTAGAACAAGTGAGTTGAAAAGCATGAAAAAAGATTTTTAGTTAAACCATGGTGGTTGGTGATGCACAAACACAGACTCACATGGGAGCTGAAACTGTTTGCTACTTAAAAAAAGGCTGACACAGCCAGAATGCAAGAACTATTTTGATATAAATTAAAACACACTGCAAATAGGCTTTTCTTACTTAAGAGTTTTTGTCTTGTTTCTAGTCCAAATATCTACAAATTCTTAAACCAAGAAGTATTTTCTAGAAGAAATAATATGCCGAAATTAAGTAAGTTTTTCCTTAAAAGCTTTTTAAACAAGTTTTTTATTTTAAGTATCATTTTAGATATTTAGACTAGAAACATAACAAAAAAATCCAAGTAAGAAACACATTTTTTTGCAGTGCACGTCCTTTCATTTATTTGTAAACAAATAGCATACTGTTAGTACATTTCTGATTTATACACGAATAACCATGTTTGTAAACATTCAAGATGCGCATGCAGTGAGGTTGCAGAATAAACCGGAAGCGCAAGCATTTACAGCGAGGGAATGGCATCTGATGTGGTACAGAGTTTGTTGTTGTCTTAGAAATAAGTTATATTGATAACATATCATATATACTATTTACATAATACTTCCAGCGTATTATAACAGCTTGTCACTCAGTATTAAAGCACAGTGATTCTGCAAAATTAACATTAACGTTACGTTCGGATGACAGGTCCATTTGTGATAACACCCTCCCAATGAATTTTGGATAAGACGAAATGGCCAAGCATCCAGCCCAAAATACACAATCTCATTGAAGCTCAAAATGTTTTTACAAGAGAGGAGTTAAAGGCCTACAAGTCTTTAAAACCAACAGTTTTGTTCTGTGTGTTCATGTGCAAGAAATAATGTTCCATGATTACCAGATTCAAAACGATGTAGTGCTAAAAGCCGAGGTTCTGCCAGCCAAAGACAAGGAAATAAAGACGGAGCTATACAAAGCCTATCTAATCATCAACAAGCAAAACAACTGCATTCTGACAGCGAACTTCACCTGTACGGCAGGCTATGTGAACTTACACTTTTGCATTTCATTCTTAGCATTCAGTGTCCGCAGTTTAATCAACCATATTTAGCTGTTTTTGCTGAAATCATAGCAGCAATAAAAAACCAGTGATGTGAATGATTCAGGATGGCATAAACTTACCTGATATGAAATGAGAACTGCAGAGTCGAGTATTTTTAATTAGGTTGTCACTTCATTCAGCTCCCTTTTAGCCAAAATCGTCTGCGGTTGGCATTAAAAGCAGTGTGGTGTACGGTAAAAGTTAAGTTGTATATTTTTTCAAATTTGCCATCCTACCACACAACACGACATGTTTTCTATTCCAACTGGTCTCTTTTTGCAACCGGGAGCCAACAGAAATGATGTCATGTGTGACGTAGATTGGCAATTCCTCTATAGTTATGCGTCTGAGTAAAACTTGATTTTAGTTTTTTCCTGTAAATTACTGATGGCATTTCCTCCAAAATTTAAATTTAAATCTTTTCATTTTGGGCCACAAAAAACAAAACAAAACAAAACATTAAAGTGTATAGAAATATTTAGACAACACAGCAATGTGTTTACTTTAGGTGCCGTATGCAAGTTTTTGACTATTCTAAAGCATAAAAATATCATAATATGTTTGCAGATATTTAAGAAACATGCCAAGTGAACATACTTGTTTATCTGAAAAACATGCTGAAGACAGATATTCTGCTTTGAAAATGTGTTTTCCGTGCTAAAACGCTGTCATGTTTTTGTTTTTTTTAACCTGCCCAATGTCAGTTTACCCAATTATAATTCAACACCCTTGATTGCCTTGTTGGAAAACCACATATTTCATTCATTCTGTCAGTAAGACTCTCAAAGCATGTGTCCGTGACCGAAATGCAACCTCCAGTAGACAGTAGCAGACTCCAAAATGAGACAGAGATTCAGAGTTCCACAGGAGGCTATTAATAAATAATAAATATTATCAAATAATAAAAATATTACGAACATAAAGACAAGGTGAGCAGGTTACATTGCAACCCCAAGTCCTAACAGCATGCTACATGATGAGATTTGCAATGATAAGCAATTGGGCTGTCTGCACCAGACAAAACATGACAAATTTAAATGCAGTCATTTTAAAGCACAAAATGGTAAGGTCTATAATCTATTTAATACATAAATGTCTTTACATTAATAAATGTACATGTTAAATCACTGATAGTGAGTCACAGTTCTAAAGTTAAGATCAGTTTATCCTGTTGTTCACTTGTGAGAAACAGAAGCCGTTTGCAATATATCAATTTAAAGGTGTTGGTTAGAACAAAAACTCCTTTTAACACAGAAAGTATTCCTTGTATCATGTGCCATTGCTTTTATTTAGAACACGGTTTAAAACAGCCTTTAGGCTCGATAGTCTTGCTGTTGGCTGTTGGTTATTTCCACCAATTCATAAGAAATGAGTAAACAAAGCATGATTTACATTAAAAATATTATTTGAAGAAATGTTATCACTTTTAAAGAATAAAACAAAACAACATTTTACTCATATCTATACCACAGTTATTACTTTTGTTTTGTCTGTATAATGTTTTTAAATCTACATGTGCCGAATGTCAAAGATTTTAAGAGAAAAAGCTCTTTAAAAAGATAAAGAAGCAAAAAAGACCAGAGAATCAGTAAATAAACACCATTTTGGGTAAACATCCCATTACAGTGAATCATACCAGATGCATGAGTCTAACCATCTATCAAAACACAAACCACAGGATATTTAGTCTTCACACCATGATCAACCACTAATGCATTTGGTCAAGCAGAGCAACAAACTGTCTGTTTAACCAGTTGGGTTCAGGTTCCCTCTGACATCTTAATTACAGCAAAGAGCTTGCATCACATTAACCCAAGACAAAGTTAATTAAGATTAATTAAAGCAAGAAACACAACATTAATATGAACCTTTACACTGAAACATAAAAAGTGTCACTTTAGAGATCTCTTGCAGGTAAACCAAGACTCGTTATCTAACAAAACAACCACAATGATCAAATCAATAACCACATCACCCTCAAAATACACAGAGGATTTATAAGTGGCCATTAAATGATATACCTCATTTGAGGTTTCAGATGTCAGCAGACATCCACACCGTTCACATCTTCACCATAACTCAGTTCATGCCATTCTTCGACAGGGACCCCATACATAAATTAAACTCCCTGCAGACAAGCACAAGTATTTCCATTCTTCTGAAGGTTTCTAAAGTGATAATGAACTGTCGTAAGCGTCCTAACATGAGCCCTCCTGAGGGGAGAGGGGAAGAGTAATGGGACGCATTATTGTTGGAGGTAAATTATGGGAAGCATATGGTGTGGGTGAAGTGAATTAGATGATCCTAGAGGCTGATGAGAGCAGGACATGCCATATATGCACACACTGGGACATTAAAGGACAAACGCTTGTCAGGTTCTTCAGCTTCGTGACAGGCTGCTGTCCGACTGATAAGATGACTTTGTTAAATGGTTGGATGTGATTATTCAGGACCTCCCATAAGGGACTGGAATGTCCTTCAGTTAGGATGAAAATATTGAGTAGCAAAGGTTAGAAATGACAGGAATGTTGCAAATTTTGCATTTGATGCCATATAGATAAATGAAATCTAGGTTTGAAATTTTTTAAAAATGTTTTTTTGCTCATCAAAGCTGTATATATTGGATCAAAAACCTTACAAAAGCTTTAATATTGTGAGAATTATTACAATTTAAATTACAAATGCAATTAATGAACAAAAATAATAAATTTTCAGCATTATTACAGTCAATCATCATTTTTAAGCTAATCAAATGCTAAACGATTGCTCCAAAAAATAACATTTTATATTTTACATGTATTTTCTGTTTTATATATAGAGAGTTGCCATCAGAATTATTGAACGCCATTTGATTTTTTTTTCTTTTTTTGGATATTTACCAAATGATGTATGACAGAGCAAGAATATTTATACAGTATGTCTGATAAAAAATGTTTTCTTTAGAAAGTGTTTTTTGTTTTATTTTGGCTAGAATAAAAGCAGTTTTTATTTTTTTTTTAAATCATTTTAAGGGCTAAATTATTAGCCCCTTTAAACTATATTTTTAATAGTCTACAGAACAAACCATCATTATACAATAACTTGCCTAATTACCCTAACCTGCCTAGTTAACCTAATTAACCTAGTTAAGTCTTTAAATGTCACATTAATCTGTATAGAAGTGTCTTGAAAATATCTAGTCAAATATTATTTACTGTCATCATGGCAAAGATGAAATAAATCACTTATTAGAAATTAGTTTTTAAAGCTATTATGTTTAGAAATGTGTTAAAAAAAATCTTCTCTCCGTTAAACAGAAATTGAGGAAAAAAATTAACAGGGGGCTAATAATAATAATAATAATAATAATAATAATAATAATAATAATTATATATATATATATATATATATATATATATATATATATTCTTTCACTTATGTCAATTGGTGAAATTTTTTTCCCCACAACTGTCTTGCTTGGATTGGGACTTGTGGAGCTGTGCATCAATGCTCTTCAGTGTTTAGACTTTCAACAGTAAAATATAAATCACACTGAACTGAACTAAACTGAGCTTCAACTCTGAAAACTGGACTGACACATTTTCAATTTACTAGAACTTCTGTTTTAAGCTGCTTTGACACAATCTACGTTGTAAAAGCGATATAGAAATAAACATGAATTGAACTAAACATTTCATTTTTTGTGCAAACTATGATTCATTTGTATGACAAAGAGAAAGTTCAAGAGCATTTATTTGAAATTATTGTTTGTAACAATATATAGTTTTATTAAAAAAAAAACATTCTGACCCCAAACATGGTAATGTATATTGTCATTCTTTATGTAGAGCCGTAAAATTTACATTCATACAATAATGAACCACTTGAAAAATATCTGTTTCACTGGATTTATTATTTATAGTTATGTGTCAAGTAAAACATGTTATTTAATTCTGTAATTTACTAATGGCCTTTCTGCAAAACATAAAATGTTGTTGTTATAACAAAAAAGGTTGTTAAAATGTTAATATCAGACATTATAAAATAAAACAAACGTTAACATTTTTACTCAAACCCATAGTAAGTGGGAAGTTCCAGAGAAACTGAGAATTTAATCTAACAAAATAAATAAATAAATGTATAAATTTTATTTAAAAAAAGTTTCACTGAATTTATGATTTATAGTTACAGTATATGCTTAAATAAAACATTTGTTTTTAATTCTGCAAACTATGACTGTAATTCTGCCAAACTTAACATGTTATAACAAAATGCTATAACAAAAAGGATGTTAAAATGTTAATATCAGACTTTTATAAAATATATATTTTTCAACATTTCACTCAAACCCATAGCTAGTACTGTAAGTCCAGAGGAACTGAGATCTGATAATGAATAAATACAAACAATCAAAAACAAGAACCAAATAATAAAAATTAATTTTGTACCCAAAAACCTAAAATAATTCCTCACGTACAGCTGTTTTGTTTGTGTAATTTTTTACATTTTCATCCCAACTCCTAGGAAACCAGAGAAAAAAGTCTATATGGAAATGTGCACACAAGCAATTTCCTGCACAGCTTTCAATTGATCACTGCATGATGCTGCTGCCGTCAGGAAATCTACAGTTATTCTGCAGCAGCTGTTCTCATGCATTTAAATATCAGACAGCTGAGAGGAGGCGGGAAGAGCTTCTCAGAACCGCAACATCTCCTCCTACCTCAGCGCTCTGCACTAATTGCAAATTATCCTTTTCAAACAAAGATTAAACAGCTGTCAAGTTAGAGGGAGGAACGCGATATGCCCTGTGCGTGTGTGTAATGCTGTGTGTGTACCTGAAGATCTTGCGATGATAAAGGTCACACCAGTACATCTTGTTGGTGGTAACATCCACATCCAGGGCCACAGCATTCTTCAGGGTCGGCACCACTTGTGTGTAGTCCTTCTTCAACAGATCAATGCGGCGGATTTCATGGCGGTTAGTAAACATGAGGTATGGGCTCTTACCTGTGAAGGGACCAGAAAATTGTTCATCAGGCCATTTGTCAACATGGGATCAGGAATAGGTGACTGAGCTGATAAACAGTTTAATAGTATATTTTAAGGGATAAAATTAATAAAGGATTAATAAAGGATTTAAATTCAGTATTTACTCTCCCTCAAGTGGTTTCAAAATCTATGAGTTCTTTAATCTGTTGAACACAAAACAAGAAAATGTTTTGAAAATGTAAAAAATCTGTAACAATTGACTTCCATAGTAGCAAAACACATACTATAGAAGTCAAAGGTTACAGGTTTTCAGCATTTTTTTAAATATCTTGTTTTGAGTTCAACAGAAAAAAGAAACACAAACATGTTTATGACAAGTGAATGGTAAGTAAATAATGACAGAATTTTTAGTTTTGGTGGTGAACTATCATTTTAAAGCTCCAGTCACACTACGTGCGACTCGCAGCGGCAAAGCGACAAGTCTACATGATCAACGGCGACTGTTGGCGACCAGGGGCCTGTTTCAGTAAGGAGGTTCAAACAACTCAGAGTTTAAACTTGAACTCTAAGTTGATTTACCAAGAGATTAAAAACTCTGAGTTTTCGGTTTCAGAACAGCTGATCTGAGTTGGGTCAATCAACTTTGAGTAGACCAACTCAGAGTTAAGCGCGCACACCGTGACTATAAAAAGGCATTATCAATGGAGCGCAGACATAACGAGTGACTATGGCAACATCTTAAAAAAAGAGATCAGCATTTCTTTCTCCAGCTGAACTTGATGTGCTCATGCAAAGTTATAGCAAATATGAGTGTATATATTTGAAAAGAAGCAACCATCAGTGAAACAGAGACAGTTAGCGTGGGAAACCAGCTGCTCAAGTTAATGCGTAATTTTTAATTTTAAGTATTTAAACATTTTAAGTATAATAAAATAAGTTATGTAATGTGTGACGTTTATACTTTTTTTCTAAACTTTTATACACTTTTATCAGTTTTAATAGATTTAACAGTGCACTTGTTGTGTGTCTGCCTTTTTATTGATCAAGTGATAGAGGTTGATATAACATTAAGAAGGTAAGCAGTAATGTAATAATTTTTAGACAGAATAATAATCCCATTAATCTAGTAACAGTGCATGTCGAAGGTTAAGCTAATTATTTATGAAAAAAAAGGACAAGCTTCGTACGTGACTTTGTTCTGTGTGTGACAAAAATGTAGGCAATAGCTGTGTTTCCATCAAAATATAGGCTATTACATAAATTTGTGCAAAACTGGAATAACGCCTAAAAATAAAGCAGCATTTTTATCCAAAGAGTCGAAGAGAACACAATCATCACTTCCTGATTAACTTGCGCCAAATATCAACAGTAAAAACAGAATTTACTCTGGTAGAATAAGCTGCATCAATGATTTTTTTTTGCCTCAGAAGACAATTGACACACAATGAACACGTCGGGGCGTTTGAAGCCAGACGCGGAGATCTTGACACGCTCCAGACACTCGGAGGTAATTAATAATATACACTAATACTGAAACAGTAAATGCATTTTAGAATGACTAAAACACCATTTAAGATGTTCTGCAGTGTGCTCAGTCTGCTGGTTTGTCCTTTAACACACATTTTCATCATCATCTCTAACAAACCATTTTTTAATGTACATATTATAATTTGTTAAGTGCACTTCATAGTTTATGTGCATCTTATCAAATAAAAGTTTAACCTACTCAGTTATGCACGTTATATTATGCGTATTTTCAAAAGTTATGTGAATCATGACGTTTCCATCAATCTTTTTTATGCACATCTCCAAAATGAGCTCTAAAATAGGTGTGTGGAAATGTAAGACTAATGCGAGAAATACCGCTTAATCTTTAAAAAGGGGAGGAGACCGACAGAAACTCAGAGTTTAGAGAATAAAACCTGCTCCGGACCAGGTTAGATTCACAGAGTAAGTTACCATGGTAACTGACTCTGAGTTAAAGTTAACTCTCTTTTAGAAACAGGCTTGACTTACCCTGCTTTCTCGAGTTTAACAAGCCTGCCATTTTGAAACAGAAAACCTAGAGTTTCTCTCATTTCAGGGTTAAACTACTCTGAGTTTTAACTTAACCTGCTTTCTGAAACAGGCCCCAGGTGGGTGTCGAGCAACACAACAAAGTTAAGAATCCTACAACTTTACGCAAATGAAGAGCGACTTTCTAGAGCGACAGCCAATAGGAGCACCAGTAGAGCTCACGTGTGATCCTCTCTCTTCTCACTCAGAGGCTGGTTGTATTCGTGCTGTATATACCTATACAGACCGCGTTTGCAGCAGGTCACCACCCAAAGCGACAGACAGCTACAAAGTTGCTGCTAGTGTGAATGAGGCATTAGGCATCTTGAGATAATAAACATCAGAAGAATATCTTTAGCATCTTAATTGTTTTAAAAAAGCCTTTTGCTTCTTACAGAACAAAAAAAAAGTTTGAGAAAAGTCTAAGCATATATCAAAATACCCAGCCTGATCTTATGAGGAAACGGAAGTATGTTACGTTTTGTCAGTTTAGTGGCTAAATCAGTCTAATTAAGTGGCTAAATCGAGTACAATTTTAAAAAGGAGGCGTGGCACCCAACCCCACCCCTAAACTCAGCTGTCATAGGGGGATGAGCAAATTGTACCAAATTGTATGAATTAACACAAGTTAGCCACTAAATCAAAAGCTTACGAATCTGCCATAACATTGTGTTGAAATACCACAAACTTAAACCAAACTTGGAGCACAATATATGAAAACAATTACGGTGCTTTTTTGGACATTATAATGCATCCTGTTTTATTAAAGGAGAAGCACTTTAGCAGCATCTAGACCAGCAGCCTGTAAGTACATTTAAGATTTGTTTCAGTTGTTGTGTATGGTTTGAGGACTTGTTTCCAGCTGTTTGTGTAAAGTTGTAGGACATTTAAACTTGCTTTCAGTTGTGTATAATACTAGAAGTTGTTTAGCCACTGTTTCCTTGGTTACTATAAGAGCTTGTGTAGCGAACGCAGACGCGGTTTCGCGTCGTCCGCCTCAGTTTCGGCCCTTGTTTTGACTCTCGAGGCGTGTCCAAACGCCAGGTAACCACTATATAGTGAGCACGCTAGCATTAGTCGGCAGGAGAAGCACTTTAGCAGCATCTAGACCAGCAGCCTGTAAGTACATTTAAGATTTGTTTCAGTTGTTGTGTATGGTTTGAGGACTTGTTTCCAGCTGTTTGTGTAAAGTTGTAGGACATTTAAACTTGCTTTCAGTTGTGTATAATACTAGAAGTTGTTTAGCCACTGTTTCCTTGGTTACTATAAGAGCTTGTGTAGCGAACGCAGACGCGGTTTCGCGTCGTCCGCCTCAGTTTCGGCCCTTGTTTTGACTCTCGAGGCGTGTCCAAACGCCAGGTAACCACTATATAGTGAGCACGCTAGCATTAGTCGGCAGGAGAAGCACTTTAGCAGCATCTAGACCAGCAGCCTGTAAGTACATTTAAGATTTGTTTCAGTTGTTGTGTATGGTTTGAGGACTTGTTTCCAGCTGTTTGTGTAAAGTTGTAGGACATTTAAACTTGCTTTCAGTTGTGTATAATACTAGAAGTTGTTTAGCCACTGTTTCCTTGGTTACTATAAGAGCTTGTGTAGCGAACGCAGACGCGGTTTCGCGTCGTCCGCCTCAGTTTCGGCCCTTGTTTTGACTCTCGAGGCGTGTCCAGCTGAATTCAATCAGCTAGTGCTTTGGGGTTATATAAACAACTAGTTCACCGCGGCAGCGGTCGCGGCAGCCTCGTGTGAAGACCGCCTCGTGTGAAGACCGACGAGGGTAAAGACCATCGACTCTACCTGCGCGACTCCACCGAGCAAAGACACCGACAAAGCACTTGAGTACTTTACTTTATTGTTTTACTTTACACTTATTTTTTGTTGTCAGTGCACTTTTATTATGTGTTTTCTAATTCCTGTTGTTACTAACACTCGCAAAACACGGGAGGTACGCTGCAGGCGTAATCCTCACAACCTTCGTTCAATACATGTATCTACTATTTCACAACTCTCTCTCTCTGTGGGCCTCTGGAATTGTCAATCAGCTGTTAACAAGGCTGATTTTATTACCTCCATAGCTACATATTCTGACTATAATCTCATGGCTCTAACTGAGACCTGGTTGAGGCCGGAGGACACTGCTACACATGCTACTCTTTCTGCTAATTTCTCTTTTTCCCACACTCCTCGTCAGACAGGGAGAGGGGGTGGGACTGGACTACTAATTTCCAAAGAATGGAAATTTACTCTGATACCGTCCCTGCCAACAATCAGCTCCTTTGAATTCCATGCAGTCACCATTATCCACCCCTTCTACATAAATGTGGTTGTCATCTACCGCCCACCAGGTAAATTAGGTCACTTCCTAGATGAACTGGATGTTCTTCTGTCATCTTTTTCTAATTTTGCCACTCCCTTATTGGTGCTAGGTGACTTCAACATTTACGTTGACAAACCGCAAGCTGCAGACTTTCAGACTTTGCTTGCCTCTTTTGACCTAAAAAGAGCACCTACTTCTGCTACCCACAAATCAGGTAATCAGCTAGACCTTATTTACACACGACACTGCTTCACTGATCAAACAATGGTAACTCCACTACAAATATCTGATCATTTCCTTCTGTCTCTCAACATCCACATTACTCCTGAGCCGCCACACACTCCAACACTGGTTACCTTTCGCAGAAACCTACGATCTCTCTCACCCAATAGACTATCCACCATTGTTTCAGACTCTCTTCCTCCATCTCGCAAACTCACTGCACTTGATTCGAACAGTGCCACTAATACACTCTGCTCCACACTAGCATCATGTCTAGACCGATTATGTCCTCTTGCATCCAGGCCAGCCCGTGCCAGTCCTCCTGCACCCTGGCTCTCGGATGCTCTCCGTGAGCATCGCTCAAAACTTCGGGCTGCGGAGAGAATTTGGCGGAAAACTAAAAATCCTGCACATCTCTTAACATACC